ACTGTCCCCAAAGACTGAATCTGATACTCGTAGATAACTGATTCTCAAACACTGACTGATGCCCGTAGGCCTGATGCCCCAAACTCTCAAACTGATACATGCAACCCCTGTAGAGACACACTCTGATAGCACATAACAAATAATTGAGAGCCAAAACACCCCTATGTTGGGGGAGGGTTTCCCTATCCTATTTTTGTCAGGAGCTAGGGTTTCACTACGCACGCAGCGGTTTCAAACAACCTATATCGGGTAAGCAACCTGTCCTAGTTTGGAATGGTCACTATGGATTCCGAATATGCACTAGGTCGAATGGTCGAAAAGAGTGCCCCGGTAAAACCGGGGTTTGTGTTCCCATACTGGCAGAGCCCATAACTGGTCAGCCTTATGGTCATGCCTTGACAAGACAAGCCTCCGGCAAACCGTTCAGGAATAGCAGATGGCAAACACGATGTCCTAGGCGCACCAATGCACATGCAATGCAAAGAAACACACAAGTGTAGTCAAAACAAGATATCATGAGTTCGGGTCAAGTTCTCTAAATCCCCAGCGGAGTCGCCAGAAACTGTAGACGTCCCCGAATGCCCCGGAAGGATGGGTCCTGTTCTGTTCATTTGGGCTCACTACAAGTTCGGACTCTCAAATTGTCACGGTTCTTAATCTGAACCAAAGAGTCCAAATCCAGCAAATCGTTTTGAGAAAACAGATTTTTAGAAAAGAAGTGCCAAACATGGACTGCTTTGCCAGATACAGAGTCGCCACTAAATGTTTTATTTTGGGGAAATTTAGGAAACCCTGACTCGTTGCCTTAAAGGCCACGTGTCCGTCATCACCAAAGTTTGCCTCGGCTGGGAAACTTGTGGACGATTGGGGAAGCGTCACTTCGTGAGCACCCCCGCTCGCTACTGATCAAGATCGTCTCCTTTACTGACCATGATATCTAGCGTGCTTTTCTGAAAAAACTTTATGCGTTCGTTATTCCGTTATTAGCCTAGAATTTACTATGTGATGCGCACAGCATTACAAAGTATAGAACTAGATCGCTGAAATTAGAACAAAAACCATTTCATGTTTTGTTGTTGAAAATGGTTTGATGTGTTACCCGCAAGTAGGCTTAAGACGTGATCTGCCACCCTCGGGTGGCTTAGAAAACATGATTTGCCAGCTATACTAGTGGGCCTAAAACTCACAATTGATGAATGTTCCAATTCAAATAACCCAACCTTCACCCACATGCATGTCAGACAGTTATGATCCACATAAGCATATAGCCTCATGGTAAGCATGCTATTCATTGGCAGTCACGTCACACGCATGCAAGAATGCCTAAAGCATAAAAACTTACCGAAGTACTCCAGCCAAAAACAGAAGCTAATTAGAAATCCATTGCATGATCCTAATTAACAGAAATGAACTAATGCAAACACATTGCAATAGTGCACTAGTAGCAGGCTCGGCTATTCTAACATGACATAATTTGAAATGCTTAACAGCTAACATGTATTCAACTTGAATTGAGATACAAAATGCAGTTTAGTATGATGCGCCAGCCCGGTGCATGCAAGACAGATTAATATGAATGGCAAACATGCTATCAACTGTATGCTAATTGAAAACATGCCTAATCGTAAACCATCATAACGGTAAATAAAAGGGGAAAAGACGTGGGTGGGAAGACATACATCACAGCCACACAACACACATCTATTAACAACATTGCCCTCGCCGCAGAGGGTCCGAATAATAAAATACAGTCCAAATGAATAATACGTCCAGAAATATATACAAATCCTAATTAATTAACAAATTAAATTAGGAAAGCCAATCAAATTGGCATGCAAGCCAGGGACTGCCTCAAATCTGCCCAGGATGGATGAATGATGCATTGCTCCGTTGCCTTTGTCGGGAGAATCCCTTGCGCATGCCCCGTTTGCCCTCTGTTTGTAATTGTTCTTGGCAATGCTTGCCAAGCTCCAAGAAGGCCTTGCCGATTTCTGATTGTGCTGCAACAGAGAGCAACAAAGGGGCCAGGTGCAAGAGTATGTTTTCACAGATGTATGCATGAGCTACTCTTCAGGAGTGTAGTCCTCGGATCCCTCGTGCCCACCAATCACGCATCCTCGATTTGCATGATGGTCGAGGAGTCGATTTGCACGACTCAATATGAAATGAATGCACATATGGACACAACAAGGCCTAAACTCCATCATGGGTAATCCGGAATGTCGGCGATAGGGAATTGAGACACGTTCCATCACTCGAAGTACGAAACGTCCCTCGTTTCCCGTGCTCGGGCTAACTCCTTTCCCAAGTACAATGCAACATGCATGACATGCATGAATGCAACTAATATACAACCTAGCATGCATAATGCTATGAGATGGCATACACAATGCACGATGTAACAAGGCATACACAATGCTCTAACATACAACCTAGCATACGCAATACTATGAAATGAAATGGCATACACAATGCGCAATAGACTTACACCAACATCAGTGGACCTCAGCCACACTCACATTAGTATCCATGAGATGAAAAATGAGACTCTCGAAATACATGTACGCATGCACGCAAACCGAAGACCGAACCTAAGGCAACAAATGCCACTCTACCAAAGCATGGCAAGGCATGGAATATGGTATGCAAACATGCGAATTTCAGCGCATAGAATGACTTATATGATACAAAATATCCCCGAAACATGGAAACATGGCACCCGATACATGGAATGAACCTCGAAATTCGAACTAGGCACATAGAATGACTTATAGCTATACAAAGCATGCATTATTTGATCATGAAGTATGAAGACAGATGCAAGACAGTCTCAAAACATGCATATTTCCAGCTTATAACAAGCCTCGAAAATGAACACAAATAGGGCTAAACTATCATGCAAAAATGGCCCTAAAAGAGAGATTAAACACAAAGGGACAGCAGCTGGCCCCAAATGGCAAAGAGCGCTTCAACAAAGTTGAAGAGGGGCTCAAAAAAAGGCACTTTACAGTTTATATTAAGCCACAAAAATAATCACAAATAAGGCCAAACTATCATGCAAGAAAAGGGCCTAAAAGAGGGGTAAAGAGACAAGTGGTAGCTGCTGTTCTCAAACAGAGGAGAGCCCTTCAACAATGTTGAATAGGGGCTTAAAACAAGATATTTCACAGTTTATGGAAAAGTCCAAAACAGCTCGCAAATAAACCTAAAATACTATGCAAAAATTGGCCTAAAAGAGAGATAAAGAGGCAAGTGGTAGCAGAAGGCCTCAAACAGAGGAGAGCCCTTCAACAATGTTGAAGAGGGGCTCAAAAAAAGTTATTTTACAGTTTATGACCAAGTCCAAAAAAACTCACAAATAAGCCTAAAATACTATGCAAAAATTGGCCTAAAAGAGAGATAAATAAGCAAGTGGTAGTAGGAGACCTCAAACAGTAGGAGGTCCTTGATCAAACATGAAAAGGGGCTCAAAATATGACTATTTACAGTTTGGTTCGGAGCCCAAAAAAGCTTGCAAGTATGGCTTAGATAGAAAGCAAAACAAGGCAAGAAAGAGGGAAAATGGGACTCACCCTTGTAGAACCAAGCTTCAACAACTTTTGGGCCAAGTTTGGGAGCTCTTCACCTCTGGAAAGCAGTCTCAAGTTTCTGGAATGAGGGATGGAGGCCTTGTGCTATGAGGTGTAGGGTAAATGGTGTAGGACTTAAGGGGTTTTGGTGCTTGGAGTAGAGAGAGAGAGAGAGAGATTGAATGCAAGAGCTCAAAACCAATTTTTGTAACCCTCAAACAAGGAGCTGAGGGGCTGGTTTTATAGAGGAGAGGAGTGGAGAAAAGAGGGGAAAATCAAATTCAAATTTCCCCCCCAAAAGACCCCCCCTCGGATACAAGATCTGGGGGGAAACAGAGGGTGCAGCTGTAAGGAACCAGGTGAGAGGGTCATGGCCGGCCAGGTTCAGAAGGTTCAGGGGGCCGGCCAGCCGCCTCCCATGGCCGGCCGACCAAGGGTCAAAAGGGTCAATGACAATTGTTGGTCGGCCACCTCAAAAAGGTGGCCTCCCATGTGTGCACAACACAACTATGTGGTTGAAACCCGAAGAATGTGAACCAGGAGAGAGAAAAACCCATTTTTTAGAGGGGTTCAAAAGGGTCAGGCACAATTACTAATCGGCCACCAAATATTGGTGGCCTCCCTGGTGTGTACAACACAAATATGGGGTTTAGGGTTTAAGAAAGTGGCCCCAAGGTGGTCAACATTGGCTTTCAAGTGAGGAAAACGGGCGTCAGAGAGCGATGAAGAAACAAAGCTGGCTTTTCAGAACAATTGCTGGCCTCCCACCCTCCTACAAGCTTCTTAACTATGAAAATAAGGTCTCCACAAAAAATGAACCAAAGCGGATGCAAGACGGAGGTTCGGGGGACTGAAACGCGCGGCCCGGGGCCCCAAAAATGGGCTGTTAAGCACCGGAGGTGGCATTCAACCACGAAGTTGGTCTCTTGGGTCACAGTGTTCCTCAAAAGGGAGGAAATAAGGTGTATACCAAAAACCGGATCAAACGGAGGTGGTTAGGTGGTCCCGAACCGAGGCACACGGCCGTCGGCTCCGAAAAATCGGAAACCGGGCTCCAAACGGGAAAAATGGCCTACGACCACGAAACGTAGCCTACGGCCACTGAGAGATGGTCTACGAGACCTCTCCCTCCCTTCGGGAAGAGAAAACAGAGAAAATAGAGCCTGGTTCGCAAACCAAGGCAAGGCACGAAAGAGTCCGGAAGTCCAGAGGCAAGGCTTGTAGCCGGGACTTTGAAACTTCTGGACGAGCACAATATGCAATATCACCGAGCGCTCAATCAGTGACGTCTAAGTCTTAAGATCGGTCAAAAATGGGGTGTCTACACATGCAGCCTTTTGTAATCCAACCTTTCCACATGTCTCTTTCCTGATAAAGGTGCAGACTCCCTTTGGCCAGGACCTAACTCTAATAGATAAGACAACTCATCATTTAAAGATTGTTTTTTTCTCCGACCAACTTTAGATCTTTCTCCATTGGAGACACCACAGGGCTTGTTCTGGTCTGATGACGCATACACCAGTTCATCAGGCACAGGTTTGTAGTTACATAGAGATATATGTTATCATTGAATGCAACACTAAAATCCTCAGAGTCAGATATAAAATCAGAACTTGAACTTTCCTGTTTAACCTGATCACTAAGATCTGGAGCATCAGGATCATAATCATCATCCTCTAAATCATCAGAAGAAGGTAGCTCCAACTTCTGCTTGTTTTTTGGTGAATCTCCATTATCTTCAGAAGAATAATAGAAATCAGATTCATCAGAACTATATTCATCTCCCTCAACTTTCTTATCCACTTCTGAACCATCAGAGTCATAATCATTATCCTCAGAATCACAAGCATTACGTGTACTTGCCTGCAAATGAGATGGCCAATCCACATGTTTGACAAACCAATCGAAAACTTAGTGTATACTCCATTTATGAATCTATCTAACATCTTACTATCCCCTAAATGATGCTTAAATACATATATGCATTAATCACCTATGGAATTAATTTTTTTGGTTTCACCCTCACAACATAGATTTAAGCAAAAGTCTTAATTAAACAACAGTAATTCCAAGCCCAGGACTACAATTGATTATCTTACACGATTGAAACTTCAAAGTTTTCAAATTCTCATAATATGAAAGAGCTGATAACCACCCACCATCCATCCTATGATTAATCAGAGTGAATTCTTCAAGCATTTGGCAGCACTGCCTAATTGCTTTGATCCCATCATAGCTTCCCTCACATCCACTGAGCTCAAGCTTCACCAATCTCTTACACCCTTGTGCCAACATAGTCAAACCAATGTCTGAAACCAAAGACCCATAAAACCCATCAACAAATCCAATCAATTTCAATATCTGAAGATTTTGAAACGCCATGATACCGTGCAGAACCTGATCGTTACGCCGATGTAATTCTAATTCTTGCAATGTAGGACACTCCTCAACAACACTCAACAACCCAATTTCACTAGCATTGATAACCATAAGTTTTCTGAAATTTGGGTACCCACCAGCTAATGATTTCAAACCAGAATCAACTTCATCAATTGATGACATGTAATTCTCAAGAACAAACCCATTTGGGAAAACATTGGAATCAATATGAAGAGAAACAAGATTACAAGTCAACAAAATACCCGAGTTTTTAGGCGAAACTACACATCCATGAATCAAATCGACATGGATGAGATTTGGGAATCGAAGAAATAAACAACCGAAGCTGAGAAAGTTCCAATCTAGAAGCTTGAGGGAACGAACGAGATGGCCTTGGAGATTGAACCAGCGTTTGGAAACTAGGAAATTGGATTTTGTCTGAGATTGAAGAAGTTTGGAGAGGATTTGGAGGAGAAGTTGGTCAGAAAGGAGAGAGATTGGATCTGAGAGGAGCATAGACCGAACGAAGAAAAGGGTGTTGTGAGGTTGGGGTTTGGGTTTGGAGAGAGAATGGAGTTTCATAGCAAAGACGACATTGTTGAGAGAATTGTTGTTGTTGAGCCAGAGGTCTGACCAGCTCGATGGTGTTTGTGTTTTTTTCAATGGAGGAACTGGGTTTTGTTTCTCAGGTGAAAAAGACATTGTTGTCTGCGTAGTTTTGAATCCAAAGACTAGAACTCACTGTAAATGCCACAATAGCATTGGAAAGAGCGAGAAACCCATACTCAACCATGCCTTTAGATAACCCAATAAACATATTGGCGCCCCCTAATGGACATACATAAAATACATTTATCTAGAAACAAAGTTAATTTTTTTTAAAAAACAAATTTCGTCAAATTAACAACAAAATTCTTTAAACAATTTTTTTTGGGATCTGTTCTAAACAGATTCATACAAACTTTTTTAAAAAAAAAAAAAAACAAATTCACCGAAAACAACAGCTACAATCAATTTCAAAAAAATTATTGGTAATCTCAAACAAATTTCAACAAATCTCAACCAAAAAACAACAATCTCAAGCAAAGATTCCAAAATCTAAAATAAATTTTAAACAAGAAATACCTATATTTCAATATACTTACGAGTTTGGGCTTGTAATATGTGATCTACGAATAGGGCTGCGATCTGCGATGAGGGTTTGTGATCTTTGATCTCATCAACTGATGTTCACCGAAGAGGGGTTTGTGATGTTAGATCCTCGTCAACTGATGTTCACCAAAGAGAGATGAAAGAGATGGAGAGAAAAAAGGGGGTAGGATGTCGACTGTGAGAGGCCGAACGACAATGAGAAGAGAGAAAGTGAAGGGGATTTGCTGATAGTCCCTTGTTCATCAAAGAGATTCGATGAACAATAGAGAGAGAGAAAAAGACTCTCACAGTCGTTGGTCAGATATAGTGAGAGGGGTCGATGATGAGAAGGTTTTGGATTGGGAGAGCACAAATAAGAGAGACATAAGAGAATGAAAAAGGATGTAAAGAGAGACAGCCTTCTGATGATCCCAAAAAAAAAAATTAAGGAATTATTTTTTTCAAACAATAATCTCAAGTAATTTTTATTTTTCAATGGTTCAAATTTTAAATTTTTGTTTAGTCAGGTATAAGATAAATGTTTATTTTTTTAAAAATTTTATTTATCAAATAAGCGATGTTGGCGACTCTAACAATTGCTCGGAAGAGAATGCAGGTGACGTCAGTGTCGGCGCTGAAGGAGGAGAAGGGGGGTTGAAGGCAGAGAACTTGTGTTTTGAAAGAAAGGAATGAGAGGAAAACTGAAGTACCAAAAAAAAAAAAAAAGATGCCCTCAAGTTAAAGTTCGAGCTCTAGTCATAAAATTACTGCCAATATCACAAATTTCTTCCTCCAAAATTAGTAATAAATAATTTTCTCCCCAAAAATTTTAAAATGTTAAAATTATTGACGATGAAAATATATTCTTCATCAAATAGTTTCAAAATATTTAAAATCAAAATTTAAAAAAATATATTTAAAATTATTGGTGACAAAATTCCTCACTAATAATTTTATAATTGGTGACAAATATTTTTCTCACCAAAAGTCTTAAAATTTTGGCATCACCCAAAAAAATTAAAAGGAAATATTTTTGGTGACGAAATTTAATTTTTCCTCACTTAAAAAGAAGTATTTATTGATGAAAATAAATTTCATCATCTATTATTTTTACTTTTTTATTATATGTGACAAAATTTTATAATTCGTCACGGATTATTCATTTAGTGACGAAATTTATTTTCTTCACTACTTTTCGTCACCATAGGTTACTTAAAGAGCTAATTAACTCGTGTTTTGTTTTAAGAGAGAGAGAGAGAGGGAGAGAGAGAGAGAGAGAGAGAGAGAGAGAGAGAGAGAGGGAACAGAGGACAACTGATAAATAAATAAAAAGGGAGGGGAAGTTAGTAGTCTATTTTCTTTCATTACCACCCAATATGTCAAAATTTTCCCTCCAAATTAGTTACAAAATAATTTCCTTACTAAAAAGTTTCAAAATATTAAAAATTATTAGTGACAAAAATATATTTCTCACCAAATGGTCTTAAAATATTTAAAATCAAGTTTCTCAAAAATATATATATATATATATATATATAATTATTGGTTACAAAAATATATTCCTCACTAATAATTTTATAATTAGTGACAAATTTTTTTCTCACCAAAAGTTTCAAAATTTTTGCGCTGCCAAAAAAAATTAGCAGGAAAATCTTCGGTGACGAAACTTAATTTTTCCTTACCTAAAAAGAAGTATTTGTTGACGAAAATAAATTTCGTCACCTATTATTTTTATTTTTTATTATATATGACAAAATTTTATAATTCGTCACAAATTATTCTTATTTAGTGACGAAATTTATTTTCTTTACTACTTTTCGTCATCATAGGTTACTTTTGTTGTAATCGAGATGTAGTTGAGAAGGATTGGAGCCTTGTGGACTTCAATTGGTAAGCCGAGAAGGCAAACCAAGTCTTTACTTGGTACGTAGGACTGGCGAAAGTTCTTTTCTGGCTGAGGAAGAGCTGTAAATCCAAAAAAAAGAACATTGGAACAAATAAACAAAAAGATTACTAAATGAGGTAGTAGAGAAGGGACTTTGGAGGAGGGGACTAAGTCCTTACCCTTATCATCCCTTCACAGCGCAATGGGAAAAGGTGGAGCTCATCATCTGGCGCAAACTCTCAATTGTCTAAGATAATCAAGTAGTCGTCTGCCGCGCCCTTATTGGAGTCTGGAATGTCAGCTATTAGCTTGTAGCCAGTCTTGGTCTTGAGGCCACACATAGTGTAGCAGCACTGGATATCAGATAGGGTAATTATAGCGTTTTGCCGGCATGCCAACTCGACAATGCCATTGATGATCCAAAAGGAGTTTATGGCCAGTTGCATGGGATTGAGCTTGTTATAATGAAGTACTTCCCTAAAGAGGATGTCAAGGGAAAACCTAACTCCGCCCTCAATAATGGAGGCAACTGGAAAGGGCATGTAATCCTTCCCAGGCATGATTGAGTCTTCCTCTCCAGCCAACCAGAGTTGAACGCCGACTGGAATGAAGAACTCTTGCCTAAAGTATTCTAACTTGATAGCAGTATCTACCCTCCACCTGAACATGCCCATGATATCGTCTTAAGGTAAATTAGTGAAACGTTTTAAAGAAAAAAGGTTGATGTGTGTTGAGGACCTCGGCAAGACCCAAGTCGAGCACTAGGATAAGGGTGGTAAGGATCTAAAGGAGGACTCGTTTCAATTTTTCTAAAGCAACTGTTTCTAGCAAATACCAAACCTAATCTCTACAGAAACAAGAATCAAATGTAACAGATCTGGCAATAAACAAGAAAAACAAAAAAAAGAACATGATTCAGAATCAAGAGAGCAACAAAGATCCAAGAACGTGGAAAGTTACAAATCTGTATAATCTAAGTGGGTGTGTGCAGAGTAATGTGCAAGAACCACAAGCAGTACAAATAAACAGATTCAAGAACATGAGTTAATTCATAATGTCTAAAGGATGGAAAATGGCAAGCAAATCAGGGAATAAGTGTTGAATTTGAACAGTGAGAGAATACAAATAGTTCACGGCAGTGTTATACTCAAGAACAGTAGAAAGCTGAAAGTAAAGCAAGGAGATTCAGTGACTTACAGAATAAGACCGAGGAAACAACATCGAAACAATGCTAGCCGAAATCAGACACTACCTTTGGTTGGAACTGAACAGTCGAAAGGGTCGCCAGAGATGGAGAAACAGAGCAGTTGCAGAGGCTTCAAGAGGATGAAAATGGCGGAGCAAAGAGAAACGTAGAGACAAAAGGTCAGAGTATAAAGAGAGAATGCAATAGTAAAAGTGAAGATGCGAAGAGAGAGAGAAGGAGTTTTGTCAAAAATACGAAAAGGCAGCAAAACATAATGAGGTGCCTTGGACGATGTGCTTGTCAGGCGACGTGGACAAAAACGACGAGACCTGATAACGCGTGTCAGGAACGAACCAATGAGGAAGGGACATGTGGATGACATGGTTGAAAAGGCTGTGCATGGCAACTCATGCGCAGTTAGAACTCTTGAAATTCTTGAAATAGTGAGGCCATAACCTCGGCTAGAGGAGCGGTCTCGATTGAGATGCTTAAAGAACTTGATTCTTGGTTCTTGATCCTTAATAAAGTGGACAGCTGAGTCCTGGTTATATGAAGCCGATGAGTCATAATCTCAGTCAAAGAAAAAAATGAATTTTGAGTCGACATATAGTATGGGCAAACGATGTAGGTTCCATCACTTTAGGTTGTCGAGGTAATAGAACCTAGGGTATAATTGTGGGGAAGTATTTTGTGAATGACAACATATGGCTAAGGTGACGTCGAAGTGTCAACCAAGGTGCCACGTGGCCTAGTCATACTTGCCGAGATGATCTCGGCTAAGCCGAGGTTATCTGCGGAGATGCCAAAATCCGAGATGAGTGGATAAAGGACAAGAGTCTTAGAACATGGGAGGATCTCAGTCTGGATAAGAATAAAACTCAATGAGGGTTTATCCCTATCTAGTTGAGGGTCCAAGATGAGCATTGAACCTGAGTCCACTGAAGTGAGGCTTCTAAAGGGATTAGGTCACTGCTGATCATAAAAGCAGGGCACCCCCGTGGGTCTCAAGTATGTGTGATATATTGTGAGCAGTGATTTGTGAGTTAAATACTTGAATTGATATCTTCGAGAGATTATTGACTTTTGATCGTTGGAGTGCCCCCGGGTGACGAACCATCACGGTATTCTCATCTTCTTATTACAGGTTGTTGGGTTTAATCTATTCTACCGGTACTCTCTAACTGAGTTCCTCGTTTGATTGTGTGGTAAAAAATCAATACCCCCACTATCTTTATATTTAATTAGAAGATTACTAGTTTAAATCTTTTCATCTGTTAGCAAGTTTTATTCTTCATATATTTGTTGAGTTTTTTTATTCCACTTTGAATTTTTTTTATTATTAATTATGTATTATATTTGATATTATTATTGGAATTGTACTTCTTAAATTTTATTATAACATCATATATGAATAAAAAAAAGCAAAAGAAAAAAAGCAATTAATTGATTGGTAAATATAGTTAGAATTGCTATCAACAATACTAAAAATCTAGAAATAGT